ATAGTTCAGTTTGCAACACAACATATTCTACCATGAAGGTGGAATCTTATGTACAATTTCAAGACATTCCTGAGTAGGGTAGGAGTTTTATCCTTGGCTTCTCTTGGTTTTGTAAATAATGTAAAATTAGGGGAGGTTGTAAAGATGATCTAGTATTAGGTATTGGTGACCTGATATTAGGTTCTTGAAAAGAGTTATGAATTCAGGTTGATTTAGAGGTTCAATAATAGTTTGTCATATTGTATTAGAGTCCAGGACGTGATACTCCATTTCAAACCTCTATGAAATTGAAATCACAGCTGAAAAGAATACAAACATGTGAGAATATTTGTTTCCGTTGTCAGCTCTGGTCTTGATTCTTGATTTCTTTTGCAATTTGTTCGTACTAATTTGCAAGTTACAATCAATATCAATGGAAAGGAAACAGAAGGGGAAGTCCTATTGAAAAATAAAACTCACTGTGCAAAAGTTATATGATTTTAGGGTTTTTGTTTTGAAATTAAATATAAAGTACAGGTGACTTCTTTTTCAAAGTTTTATATAAATTTTATAAATTGTTTTTGTAACTATTTCTATTGATTTCATATGAAAAAAAGGGTTTTCTGACAATGAGGTAATGGTTAAAGTCGTTAGTCGTATGTCAAAAAGCTTATATTTATTATAAATAATTAATTTTTTAATATTTACCTCGTATATTTACAACTAGAGGTATCATGATTTCGGTCACTATAAATTAATAATCAATGTCTCTGTTTTTCGTCAAGTGAATTATAATTACTTTAAATTTACATATGTATTATTTAATCTAAAATTGATAAGAATATATAAAATTTGGAAATAAATCTAATTATTTGAAAAAATAATTCAAATAATTTTTAGACTATTTATTTCTATCTATCTAGAGGGCTATTCTCTGGCAATAATTTATAACAATTTGTACGAGTATCATTTATAATATATTTTAGAAAATATAATTATTTAAAAGGCCATCCAAAGAACTGGAAATGGGCCAAACTCGCAGGACCCGGATTGAGCATGACAATTAGGGTTTCTCTATTATAAAGATGGTCACAGCCTCCGTTCCTCCCACACTCGGACACTGCCTTGAACAAGCGGAAGCCCTTAGGTGGGTTTTTGCCTCTTGCAGGCAGTTGGGGCTTGCCTAGTGCTTGTTCGATTGCATTTTTGATTATTTTGATCTGTTTCTGCAGCTGAAAGAGAAGATGGCCACAGTACCAGGGCAGCTCGTATGGGAGATCGTGAAGAAGAACAACTCTTTTTTGGTTAAAGAGTTTGGTAGGGGCACTCAGAGCGTCCAATTCAGCAAAGAGAGCAATAATCTTTACAACCTCAACACTTTCAAGCACTCTGGTAAATCTTGTGTATTTTTCAAAAAATTGCTGCATTTTTCGTCAAGTCATTTACAAGCATTTGATTTGTGGCTACAAGGGTTGTGTTTAAATGTCATTTGTAATTAGAATTTGGGGAGTGCTAAATTTGGATGGAAATGGGTATTATCGGTGATAGCAAACTGTTTTTGAGTTATGGAATAGGAAACAGGTTATCTGATCTTTTGATAGTGCATACCTCTGTTCGAGAGTGGGGAAGTGAACTCAGGGTTCAGTTGGCAGTGAAATTTTGCATTTTGTCCGATCTCTATATGCATTGTTTTTTTTTTAAATTATTTTTTTTAAAGTTTTTGTGTTTGTTGTTAGGTTTGGCCAACAAGAAGACCATCACTATTCAACCTGCTGGTAAAGATCAATCTGTCTTGCTTGCAACTACCAAGACAAAGAAACAGAACAAGCCTGCTTCTTTGCTTCATAAATCTGTCATGAAAAAGGAGTTTCCAAGGATGGCAAAGGCTGTGGTAAACCAGGTATTAATTGACAAACGGGTTGTTTATATATGCAAGTAAACCAAGTTGTTATGTTTAAAGACCTAACAAGTTATTCACTTAAAAACTTAACCTTAAAAAAAGTCTATGAGTTGAAATCTTGTTAACTTTTTTTTTTGGGGTGACAAGATTGGTTTTCTCCCGTGTGATGATGAGCCTTAACATGTAAGAAGAGTGCCAAGTTGTGGCTTCTTCAATGAAATATCCTTGTTACGCTTGGCTTCTGAGCTGTTGGAGCTGCCTTTATGTGTCGTCTTGTCTCTTCTTGATATCTTACAAGCTATTGGTCAACTTCGTATGGAACTGGCTGAATAACATAGGGCATTGGTGTTGTTTCACCCGCTAGAATTGATGAATATGTTTGAACGATTATGATGAACAAGAAGGGGGACGCTGTCGGTCATGGTAGGTGGTTGTCAGTATAAATTCGTTGAAAGTAATCTGATTTTACATGTGAGCATGTGTTTTTGCTCGTCTGTCTATTGACACCTTGTTAACTTAATGGTATCAAGACTATATTTATTCCTGCGGTGATGAGCCTTTAACATGTAAGAAGAATCCGCAAGTTGGATTTCTTCTATGAAATATGCTTGTTACGCTTGGCTTCTGAGCTTCTATACTTGCCTTGATGAGCTCCAGTGATCTCTTCCTCATATTCTATACCAAGCTATTTGTGAATGTTGTTTGGGAGTTGCTATATAACATAGGGCATCAGTGAAATTTAATTATTAAATCTGCTAATGAACATGAAAAATTAAGTTTTTTTCCTTGCTCATCTATATGGCTATATATTTAATCTGCATAAATAGTCTCTATATCGATAGTAAGGGGTCAGTTTTGCTTGGTGCATTTTTGTGACATCTAGTTTGCTTTATTGTTCTGTTTCAATACCATGTGTTTGTGTGTGTATTGTTAAGTGTTTGGGTTTGATTCTGAAAGCCAATTAGCAGAGCAAGAGCATCTATTGCAAAAATAAATGGTGCATCGTGCCTTGAAGGTTGGCAAAAATAACTCAACTGGCGATTCTCCGTGCCTATCAAATTGATTTTATATTGTTTTGATGATGGCCTCGAACAAGTCGCTACATCTGTTTTGCTTTATTGTTCTGTTTTATTACCGTGTTTGTGCATGCTGTTTGACAAGTGTTTGGTTGTGAATGTGAAAGCCAATTAGCAGAGCAAGAACATCTATTGCAAAAATAAATGGTGCATCGTGCCTTGAAGGTTGGCAAAAATAACTCGCGATTCTCCGTGCCTATCAAATTGTTTTGATGATGGCCTCGAACAAGTCGCAACATCTGTTTGTATTTGATCTTACTCCCAGTAAATATACAAGGAAAATGGGTTGCACGGCTTAGCCGTGTGCTGTTTCACAGTGATACATTAACAAAGAGCGTCAGTGATGTTTGTACTCACGAAATTGATGGTTATAATGTGTCAACAATTATGTCGGACAACGTAAAGGAAAGATCGCCCCTTTATTTGCCAATTAGTGTTTTACCCCACCAATGATCATTTCAACTCTGGCTTCCAAAAGTTCATGCACTTTAACCTTTCAATCTGTATTTGCTTGTCTTGCATTTTTTCTGTGCTTGTTTGTGTGGATACTTCACAGATTTTTCATTTTCCAATTGTTGCACCTTCGACCTCATCTCTGTTTTGAACATGACGAAGAATCCCTTTTGCATTATAGGTGGCAGACAACCACTACAGGCCTGATCTTAAGAAGGCAGCCCTTGCAAGGTTGAGTGCTGTTCATAGGAGCCTCAAAGTTGGCAAGTCTGGTGTCAAGAAGAGGAACAGGCAGGCCGTGAAGGTCCGTGGCAGAAAGTGAATTGGGAAGAGTTTCTTGCATTCAGCTCTCTAGTGTTCCTTTGCTTTTTGTATTCCTAGAACTTTATATTGAGTTGAGCTCGCTAGGCGCTTCTTATCCTTCTATACAAAATCGAAACTCGAATGGTATAGTTTTTAACTTGTTTAATTTGTTTGCGGCATGATATGCTTCCCTTCTATCTGTTTACATGATATAGCTTCGCATTTGCTTTATTTAAAAAAGGTTGTGATTCAGTTGGACAGATAAACATGTGGTGTTATCAGTGTTTTTGGAATGGGACCGCAATGAGTCGTTCAAGGTCAAGGTCCAATCGTCGGATCGGTTTTAATAATAATTTTAAAAGTATTTATGACAGAAAATCGTAGGTAATTGTTTTTTTAAATATTCTTGTCATGTATGTGAAATTTATAGTCAAATTACACCAATATTTCAATAGGAATATTTATCATCTATTGCAAATCAGCAAATGTGTCAGATTAATTGTTGAAGCAAATTACATGAGCTTTCACGATTAACCATAAGCATTAATAATTAATGAAAGTTAAAATATATTTAGTCTTTTAATTTTATATATGTTTGATTTTAGTTTTTTAATTTTCAAAAATATATATTTGATTGTTTAATGATAAAATTTATTGGATATTAAATGATATTTTTTTAATAATAATTATGGTTATTTTAAAAATTAAATTTAATATACTAATATTTGAGAATATTTTATTAACATTTAAGATTCTAATGTTATATTTTTTATTTAGAATTTTATGGTTAAAAGACTAAGTATGTTTATTAAAGTTAAAAGGTCTAATTGAAACTCTATAAAATTAAAAAACTAAATGTATATTTTAGTTGTGAATAAATTATTAAATGTATAATACTTTAAATTAAAAATAAACCAAAAGCCAAATAAAGACATAAAAGTAACACTTCTAACTGAAGGGAAAGAAACCATTTAAAATGCATGTAGAATTTTGAGATCTGATGTTAGATCATAGTGACTATCTTTTGATTAATGAAAAATTTCTTCCACTCGTTCTCAAGGATGTGTTTGCCTGAGATCAAATTGTTAGGGAGGAAAAGGCAGATAAAGGGGGGAGAAGGGTTCATTTGACAAGGCTGTATCATGTATGAACAGTTGATTAACTTTAATTCTCTCAACCTAAGTATGATTTTTACAGTCATTCACCATAAATACCAACTCACATAAAAGTTATTCACACAAAACAATGCAATTTAGTGATCTCTGTAAAAGGAATGTAATTACTCAAAAGGAAATAATTACTATATTTATAAACACCTTCATATGCACGGCAACATATAATATTCCTTACATATAGTCAAAATCTCATTTATACAGTTGCATTGTCAAAATTTTTAAACTGATGAGGCAATAAAATATTGTTTGTCCCCCTTAAATCTCACTCCACACTGTTCAATAGATAGGGTGATTGAACTGTAATTTCCACATTCACACTAAACTAATCTAGGTGAGGTTTTTGTATCCACATACAAGTGGGAAAGAGAAAGACAACATATGAACTGAAGCAAATTATCTTCTTTAATATGCAAGATCCAGCCACATGATCTTCCTTTCTCTTTCATTTAAAGAGGCCTAAAAGATCATGTGGGTGGTATAAAAAAGGAGTCCTTATGATTCACTGCAACTTTTTCGACTCACCAAAATCCATCTTCCCAGAAATTGTCCTCAAAAGCTTCTTGGAACACATATCTTGTGCTTGTGTCGCGTATTTTGCACGGTTTGCTTTGACCCAAGCAGGCTCCTGCAGAGAAAATAACCCTCTCCTGTGATTTATCCCACATAATTTTGACATTGGACAAAACATGTAGTCCAAAAGAAAGACCCTATCGACCAGAGAATGGATGTTCTTATAATTTAACTTTTTCGGATGAAAAATCCATCTAGAGACATGATTATCCCAACCTCTACCATTAAGCATTCAACAGTTCAATCCTCGCTATCCAAAAAACTCGTGGTCAAGTGTAAGGGATGATTTTGTTAAATTATTTAATTGAAATGGCAACTCATAATGGGATGAACCCACCTCAGGAACCAAGCGAGAGAAGCCAAACTTAATCAGCAGGAGGACATGTTCCATAATTAGAATGGCTGCAAGTCCAGGCTCTATACTCCATTTTCCTTCCTGATCATATAGCCATACTAAAAGTGCACAGTTGGTGCAGATAGACATCACTATGAGAAACTGTAAAATGAAACACGACCTCTCATAAGCGTGACAAATAAAATGGAACATGTATTAGAAACAAACTTCATGATAAGTCATGATCATAGTTTAAATTTTAAAGCCTCGAGACATTTTAAAATCATGCGTTTAAGATGTGGCTTTGCTCATTCATATTAAAATAAAGTTATTGTATTTGTACAAACATCAAGACCATTCATTCACTTAGGTCAACATAATGATAAAACTTCCTCATGTCTCATGACTCACCAACGGTATAAATATAAAACAGACCGCTTAATCATTATTTATTATGCAATACAGACACCAATATAAATTACCTTCGATTCACTAGAAGCAATTACTCCCTTCATGCCTAAATATAAGTTTCTGTTAACCAATTTGTAGAATCTAAAAAAGTAGGTAAGTTGGTTATTTGTAATTAATATGCAGAAAATTTGTTGCTTTTCCAGAAATAACCCTGCCATTTAACGGTTAGAATTTAATGCATATAGATAAAAACGCTCCAATAAATTGGGGTATTATGGGGGGGAAAATTAATAAAGGAGACATCAGGAAATAGAAAATTATATCTAGGACCAAGCAAAAATCCTCAAATGAATCTTATATTTAGGACCAAAGAGAGTATTACTTAGGACTAGTTGCGCTAACTCTTTTTCTCAGCCAATAAAACTTTCCTAAATCCTTAATGGTATGATGGCGTTTTATCATCTTTCACAACCGACATCCTTAAAGCCCTGAAAATAAATACCTGGAATATGTTGAGCCAGGCTCCAACTGTTGCAGCAGCACGAGGAACAGGCCGCCTAAGTATTACTAGCAGCTTCAAAGCATCTGTTCTGATTTCCATAAGGTTGTTCTGAACAATGAAGGAGCTTAAATGTTATTAACTTCACAGAAGCTAATTATGATGAAATTAATGTTTAAAGGCAAAGAAGCTAAGAAAAAGAATTCATACCACAGTGGCAAAAGCAAATGCTGGGGGAAATGCACAAGCAAACATCATAATCATCCCAAACTGCAATGCCAACTCCAAGAAATCTGCGATCAGGTTCAAAATTATTAATAAAATGCAAGTCATTTGCTTTTCGGTCTTCAAATCAAGACTACAAGAGATGAAGCTTCTCACATACGTATTTTTTCTCAAACCATTTAAGCCAAATGTTTATAACGGAACAAGTTGTTCCTTTTACTGGATTTCAATAGTCAATGGGAAATCAACTTTCACAAGAGAAATGTACAACCGTAACAATTACAGCTTTATTCTGGATCTAAATGTATAACTTCCGTTTCAAATGTTTCAGAAGTCAATATCATAAATTTGTAGGTTTGACGGATTCGATACCATCAAATAGCCCGTCTTCAAGCTCCTCTCCAATGCTGGCTTTGTAAGCAGGCTTAAGATATTCTTTCTCTGCTCTATGAGTAAACTGGATTTTCCCTGTCATTTCTCCGTTCTCTTTTTTCTTGTTGTGTCTTCAGAAACAAAACCCCAATAAGCTACTGTACCAGTGGTCTATGAAATAAATCCAGCAAAATCCACATCCAAATGATGATAAGGCTTACCGAACCCGGTATTTTTTGTAGCTATATTTAAAATAAGGCAGTATGTTTTCCAACAAGTTTTCGAATACCTGGAAAACGTCCTCAATTTCAATTACAAAACTCAAGGGGTGGAAAAAAGAGGGACCATGGGGAATTATAGGGGAAAATCGAACCGTAAGAAGGAAAGAAGATAGAAAAACGAAATATAAAACTAATGTGTGTGACCTCAGACAAAAGGAGCCGCTGAACTAACACTTTACGAAGAGTCAAAAAGTTCCGATGCAAGAGAGCATGATAAAAAATACCAATATATGTCTGCATAAAGTAAAGACCAAACACCTGCAGAAGAAAGCAATCCCCTTTATTGCAAGTGTTGTAGGAATAAGCGCCTCAGAAAATCAAGTGATTCCCAATAATTACCTTGTAGACCAAGCTGTCAGCCCGTTTTTCAGTGTTTTCATTGTTCTCATACCTTATAAGTTTGACAGATACCTTGCCACAAAACTGGGTGATATACTGAATGGCGAAAAGATAAAGAGCGGTGAGCCCAAACCTGAAACCCAAATGTTAAACTAGTGTCAGTGTATCATTTTAATGAACAAAACGTAATAACTTACATGACAGTCAAAAAGACGTCTAACACATAATTATAGACTACTAGTCAGTGTAAACAGCCTTTTTCTACAAGTGCCATCTAAGATACTAGATTTGTCTCTCCTGTGCAATGCACAGGGTACCAGGTATGTTTGATCGTGAAATTCGAATCATTAAAACGTAAATGACATTGCTTCACAGATTTCAGTACAGTTTCTAAAGTCAATTTGGCACCGGAGAATAGTCAACAACTAGCTTTGTGAGAACGGATTCAAAATTTGAGGAAATAAAGTAGCCAGGAAAACTTTATCATCTTCCTTATTTAGAACAGACAACAATGTAGTATTGCATTTAACACATGGCAAATATTGAGAACCTGACAGAGGCAGGCATAAAATGTTCACTTAAAACTAGAAATTAGAAGCTCAAAAGAGTAAAATCTTAGATTCTTACTTAATTAGATCAGAATCAATAACTTCATAAAGATGTGCGTAAGCCAACTCAAATGGCAACTGGAGGCATATTATGCTGACAATTATGATGGCATCATTTCTAAATCGCATGAGTCGCCCAAACCACTCATGTCTCTGGAATACTTCCTTCCCTTTCATTTTATCAGTATCTAATAATTTTATGAGTTCATTTTGTAGCGGTAGGGAACTTTCCTTGCTGCCTGGAATCTTATATCCTTGGTCTGCTGTAACCGAAGAGTCAATAGACCATCTACAGAATCCAATCAAGAAATAAAAAGCACCGAGGGGAGGAAGAGAGAGGTGCAAAGGAAAACCTTAGTAGGGGAATGAAGCACATAGAGAAGTAAATACAATGGTCACACACACACAGAGGGACACAAAAAGTATACCTGGCTAGTAGGGCAGAATTTTTACGTTTCCAGAACTGACAAAACATTACAGCCCAAAGTATCACCACAACAAAGAAAATGGGTAAAACTACCAACTGCAATGACCTAGAAGACATCAAGTAACAGTCTTAGTGAAACTAATGTTTTGTTGGACAAGGAAACAGCCATAAATAGGCACATCAGCCAACTTGGCCTACCCAAAATCAATGAACCCCAAAACCAGACCAAATGCAGCTAGGAAGAGCAGCCACCGTGTGTACATTCCAAGGAAGGCAAAATAGATCGCAATCTGCAGATTATTAATTCCTTTATTAAATGATGACAACATTATTTTCAAATCACTTTTCTATAGCTCAGAGTTACAGTCACCTTTGCCCCATAATAAGAATAAATCTCATCGATTGGTTGATTTGTGAAATCCCACCAATAAAGTGCCCAGCTTTTGAGAAGTTTATGTCTCTTCTTTTCATCTATCAATCAAAAGCAATTTTAGCTTAAATTTATATAACATCAAATCTGAATAGAATTGACGGCATAAGTAAGTAAAAATACCATGCAGAGGAAAGACTTGCTTGACAATGTTCACTGATTCCAATTTCCGAAGCAAGTTCTCCCCAGTTTCCCATCTGATTTCCTTTCCATCAAATTTAAGGATCAAGGCTGACCCGGTGCTGTTTACCTACAAATTACCATTGATATATAAGTGGTATAGGCGATGCAAAAATATCAACGAGCTCATGAAGAAATATGTACAATAATGCCATTTCATGGCAGCTATTTTCAACAGACATGCAATTGAACATAGCAACAAAGCTATTAAACAATTTAAAAGAATATATAGATTTTTAAGTTCGATTCATCTTATCAATAATAAGTTGCATGTGCGGAATCAATCTATAATTAAAAATTAATAAGTATAACTTAATGAATATAAGAACGAACTTTAAAAGATGGTATTTAATGGACAACTTAAATGGAAGCACTTTCCTGAATTGATTACACTACAGCTAAGTCAAATTATCAGGGGGGCGGATGAAGAGAATGGTTTCCTTGTTTAAAAAATAATAATAATAATAAAAAAACTCACTATTCCATATATTAAATGATAGTAGCACTGAAATCGCTCACACCAACTGAAAATTGAACCATCGGGTTGTCTCACAAAAGCATCAACGCCCTCCACCTGGAATTGCAAATCCATGCCTGCTATTGAACACGAGAACAATCAGTGACGTAATTAAAAAGAAATTTCATTAACCACATGCTAGTCAATCCATTCGCAACTAAACATGAAGACATGGAAGAACACTTAAAATTCATGGAAATTGCAGAACTTCACCTATATGAGTCCGTTTCTTGATCTGTAGCTCATATGCAGCCCTTCCCAACGTCTCCAAAGGTGCGGCCAGCTAAAAAATTCGAGGGTCAGGTTATAGCAACTCAACATTTTTCTTTTGGGGGTGCATGATAACTACCCAGACTCCCCACCACTAGATCACAGATATTGGCTTAGGTCGACAAATGACTGGAAATATAACCTTAGATTAGTAAGAACGGAGAAAAATTAAAGGCAGATACGACCCCATAAAAAATTTGTTCAGAACTCTTCTGCTGGAAGAAAAGACCGTCTACGATTTTCTCCAATAAACATTGGAACAAAAAGAAATGACCTTTAGCACTGCTAACAGATCTTAGCATTCGTTCCATTGCTACGACTGGAATGTACTCCAGATGATAAAGATAATACTCAATACGCAAAGGAGGTTGAATAATGCATAAACAGAAGAGCATTTAGAAGTCTAACCTTAATAAACTCTTCTGCAATGCCATGAACTCCCTCAACTATAAACCCGACCTTCCTAAACTCCTGCACTAGGACATTTACGCAGTCAGAGACTTCATCTTTTTCCTGCACGACTCTCCTTGGAATTACCACCGCAATCTCAAAAACAGGCTCCTCCTTTTCATGCTCCTTCATTTTTCAATCCTTAGAGACCATGTAAACACCAAATCCCTAGACACCTGAATTCGAACGAAATAAAGCTTCAGAGAGCGCCGAAAGGTCCCTTTCGTGGATCAAAGGTTGCAAGCAGCCAAATAGGCTTCTAATTCAGGAATGAAGAATGAGGTTTTAGGAAAGCAGTTTTTTCCGAGACCCAGGAGACACAATTGTGTCTCCTTTCGTGGTCTAACCGTCAAAAGACGCGATAAAGACCGAAATGACGATACTTTCTAGGCAGATGGCAATGTGGGTGGGGACGATAAGTTCAACCTAAAAACCGGCAAGAGAACAGACAGTGGAAATCACGATGATGGATCAATGGAAACGGCCAATCGGCGGCACCAGTGCCCAGCAACGGACACATGGAATGATCTGATTTGGGATGATCTTGAATTTAAAATTTATGAATCTCCCCTAATCAGACTCGGAGATTCTCCTTAGATGGGACCCCTTGCTGGTAATAATAACGGTTTAATCTAGAAAACAATGTTTTCCAAACTGAAAATATGATTTGAGGCGCCACTGTGACTTTGATAGGAAATGGATTTCTATCCACCCAACAGTTCTAATATTTGAAGGGGCAATAAATAACCTCACGTTGGCTGCTCAACTGGAAACTGATACTCTTCTATAAATTCTCATTTAAGTTTATTGTATATGGATTAAAAAATTGGTTTTATTTATAAGATTTGCTTAAAAAATGTTTGAAATTTTAACCAATTTTTTAAAAAAATTTTGCTCCAATTTTTTTCTTACACCTTTATTTCTTACCTTGTTTTACTCGCTGTCACCATAAGTAAGGATAACATTGAAAATTGATACTAGTATTAAATATTGTTTTGAAATTGCAAAAATACATGTTTTTTTTATTTTTAATATGAGTAGCCGGGAGTTTTTTTTGTTGTTGAAATGTTTGGGTTCATTCTTATTCTACTCTTATTACTTTTACTCCTTAGTAAAGTTAGGTATCTTATCTCTAGTGTCAAAAACAAATTTTACAGCTGGGTTGTGATTTAATGTTGTTTTAAGTTTTTTGTGATTTACTTTGTTATCAGTCACCATCATATGCTAGGTTATTTTTGCCCCTAAATATTACATTTTCACTTAGAAATTGAAATCAGTAAAAAGATCATTAATAACTTTCAAATATTTGTATTCCATATATACGTAGATTAAAATATTAGTTTAGAGCAATATATATGCAAGAGGTGTGTTTCTTTTCCAACCATATCCTTGGAGTGAAATAGAATGAATGGAAAAAAGATAAGGGAAAATGAATAGAACAAAAAGAGAGAAATATGTAATTTTTTTGACCAGCAAGAGAAATATGTAATTAATGGAAGGTAAAAATAAAAAATGCATTAAACTTTTAAACAAATACAAATTATCACTTATATATAAAATCAATTTCATGTAAAAGAATATTACTTATATATATAATTGGCACAACTATGATGGGTAAAATAGCATCTAGCACTTTGAATAAATCTTATACCTAGTCTTATTTGTGATTTATAATGTTAAATGCTTTATAAATTATATTAACATTGTGGAAGTACTTAGAAGTCCCAAATGATTGATATTAAAAATATTAGATGTACTATAAATAAATAAAATTAAGATATTAAATATAATAAAAAAATTAATATTGGGATGATGTTACTTATTAATATGCTTTCTAGAATTAAATTTAGATTATAAACCACATTTTACGTTAGATTTGGAGGCAGTAATTTTTAACATCACGTCTATGTAAAGCATAAAGTCACTAAGAATCGTACTAAAGGCCCATGAAATTTCGCGAGGCAAAATCATGTAACGATGGATCTATTGTACTTTTACTAGTCACGGATTGACAAAATGATGGGTTTTGCAGAGATATGAGTAAAGATTGATGGATGAAAACGTGGAGAGTACATCAGATTCTGCAAAACAAAAGCCGATCACTCAAATCAAAGGCCTCATAAGAAACCTTAATTTAATACAGTGCGTAAGATTCCACGTGAATAAAAGTGGATAGTTACTCAATCCTTTATGTGTCTTACAGCTTTTATGCATTGAAAACGCCATTTTAAGTTTAGGATGAAACTTGGAGTCCCACATCGTCTGCTACTATCATCGTAAAGCTTTTATATATGAGAAAGCAAAACCAATCAGCAACTCTGACCACGAGGAGTTGTGAACGGGCTCATATACCCAGTGACTTTGTTGCTGGGCTGGGCTCAGGAAAGTCCCCGGGCCCACTTCTGCAGAGATGCAGGCCCGGAAACGGGTTACTTCGAGTTGGGAATTAATTCATCCTCCTGGGTGGAGGGCTGAGACACGTGTGGAGCCTTGAGATTCCCGCCGAAGATATTGGCCAATGACACAGTTATTCACAAGGTCCTCTATGGACCAACAGAACGGGGCTTACGTCCTCGGGGTCACCCTTTTTTTGATGTTTCTGAAGTCCATCTACAGGGTATTCAAATGCATTTAACTAGGGGAAAATTACACTCAGGTTCTATATAAGGCAATTAATTAAGAAAAAGTTTGAAAATCCTGAAATGATTCCTAAGTCTCCAGGACCTGTGTGTAATTAATTTGAACTGACAGAATGGGATACCAGGGACAGTGCTGAGGTTGTTAATCACTTCTCCTCTGTTTTTTCAACAGCCACTGCTGAGGTTGTAAATAAATTGTATTGGGTTCAAATTAATAGGGGTAAGTAAGTAATTTCATAATTACAATTTATTACACACATCTTTGGAGACTTAGAAATCATTTTAGGATTTTCAGAAACTTTTTTTGAATTAATTATTTTATATGGAATCTGAGTGTACTTTTCCTTAATTAGTTAACTCACCTTCCGCATCTAGAATACTATCTTCGGTTCTAATTATAAGAGCCAGTTGACTAATTTGAAGAGATTAAGGAAGTGAGTTGAGTTAGTTATTTGTTCTAAATAGGTGTTGTCTTTTTTAAAATATCTTTACTAATCAAATGTATTGACCAAAACTATTATTGTTAGAAGGCTATTTTGAAAAACATGCATAAATATAAGAGACAAAATGGATTGGAGTCTTATATTTAAAACCAAAATAAAAGTTAAACAGGATCTTATATTAAGGACAGGAGATAATACAATATGCAGCGGGTGGATTACACTTGTGATTACTGCTCCCCCGGTTGCCGCTGGATGAAGCCATGTCAAGGCCCGAAGACCCATATGCTCTCGCTGTTAATTGTAAATCCCTCCCTAAAATATCACTTCATTCTTTTTTTCTTTTTTTTTGTATAAAAACCATGAGTCGGCTTTTGGCCTTAAAAAAAAAAAAACATGACTGGGAAAGCAAGTTATTTGCACTTTTTTTTTATTATTGCTATTTAAAGGCTAAATTATATAAAACTTTCAAAACTTAGAATTTGTAAATAACTTTCTTAATTTTTAAAACTGGAGGCACCCCCGGGGATTTTGAAAACGTTTGTATTTTTACAGTATTGTCTTTCATTAGAAGAAGCCCCTCACTTTTATGTTTGATGCCGTCTCATTACCTTTACCATTAATTGTTGTTACTGAAGCTTCAATTCTGGTGATTGATTTCTTGAGGTAAGCGGGTGATGAAGTGTAGTAAACAGCCAACGAAATGTAAAATAGATATTTACATTTCATAAAACTTTATCTCATTAACTGTATTAGTGGTTGGCTATTGAAACTTCGATACTAACTGCTATGATTTGTTAAGTCAAAACTGGCTCAAATTTACACGGTTGGATATTTTATGATATTTACAACATTTCATTAGCTATTTGACATGCTTCGTAAACCAGCTTTATCTGAATAAATCACAACCAACGATGCCGGAGCTCCAATTATTGTCGATGGCATTTTTTCCAACATTTCAGAATTTGATTTGTCATTTTAAAATTTTGAGGATATTTTTCTGCCATCTTCCCCTCGGCTCAAATAATTAATTAAATGCGGTGGGACTCGTTTGGACTTGGCCGTGGGGGTGGCGTGTCCGTGTGCAGAGGAAAAGCTCTCGATTTCGGGGAAACATCGCATTCCCTAGTGGAATTGAAATCCATCCCTCTCCTGCCTCTCTGGTCTCTGCTTCAAATTCCCAAATTCCTCAGAACCATCGTCCAAAAATTTCTCTTTTACTCGATTGTTTACGATTTTCTCTGTGTTCCCAAATTTCAATTCTTTGATCGTTTGCAGTGACACAAGGAATCATGGGCAACACAGAGAAGTTGATGAACCAGATCATGGAATTGAAATTCACCTCCAAGTCCCTTCAACGCCAAGCCCGTAAATGCGAGAAGGAAGAGAAATCCGAGAAGCTTAAGGTCAAGAAAGCCATGGAGAAAGGGAACGTGGACGGCGCTCGCATCTACGCGGAGAACGCCATTCGAAAGCGAACCGAGCAGATGAATTATCTGCGTCTCGCCTCTCGGCTTGACGCCGTCGTCGCTCGGCTTGATACCCAAGCCAAGATGAGCACCATCAATAAGTCCATGGCTAACATCGTCAAGTCCCTGGAATCTTCCTTGGGCACCGGTAATCTCCAGAAGATGTCCGAGACCATGGACTCTTTTGAGAAGCAGTTTGTGAATATGGAGGTTCAAGCTGAGTTCATGGAGAGCGCTATGGCCGGATCCACCTCTCTTTCCACTCCTGAAGGCGAGGTCAACAGCTTGATGCAGCAGGTGGCCGATGATTATGGCCTCGAGGTCTCGGTGGGTCTGCCGCAGCCGGCATCTCACGCTGTTCCGACTAAGGAGGCGGAGAAGGCGGACGAGGGTGACTTGTCTAGGCGACTTGCTGAGCTTAAGGCGAGAGGTTAAGATCGAGTTATTATCATTAGGGTGATGGGTGTCATTTGTGAATGAAATACATATAAACTACACAATTATGCTTGAGTTTTTGTCTTTTTTTAAATAATGAGAATGAATGTTTTGTGTATATTCAACTGAATTTCTCTCTAAGCTGTTACTTTTATACTGTATTTTGGGATGATCCCTTTGCAGCATACCTGTCCTAGTTGTTACTTATGCTTATTAGCTTTAGCCATGTGACTTTCTTGAACAACGATGTAGATTTTGTAGATATTAGGCGGTGTGTGATGTTTGAAGAACATGTCCAGTTATATTGTGAGCATAATTGTATAGCAGGTAAGTGGATGATGGTTCATGTATGCTGATGAATGAATGATGTAGTGTGGGTTGCTTCATCAGTTGTGCAAGTGTGATGAAATATTTGGTTAGAGAAAGTGGTTAAATCATAAATGCCTTTTTTACAATGAGATGAATGTAAAATTGATGGGGCTTTCGGAGGAGCTGGGAATTCCTGTAATTTGCAGGGGCAACTGAGCAACTTATAATTTGATAGAGAATCTGCTTCCATGTGATTCAATCAATGTTTGGGAATTGGTCCTAAATAACATCATCTAGGAACCAACATTAATGCGGGAGACTTGTGCACTGGAACTTGTTTTTTTCCTCCTCATTTGTCCATTATAGAATCAGAAGAGAGGTTTGAATTTAGAACCTCTGTCTCCGTCTAACTAACTGTAAATAAACGACGGGTAACTGTAAACTGGATTTGTCATATGATCGGGGAATATAATTACTTTGATGGTTGTTGAATTTTGCTCTGAACTATTATGAATTATTCAATGGTTCTTGTTAGCCTAGGTCATTCATACCAGTAACTAACCTTACTCTAGATGATGAGTGTGCGCTTCGTAAAAGTCTAAGGGGAAGACAGTGCGGGAAAGAATATATACTGGACACAATCAATGAGCTATTATGCAGAATGAGATTCCCCTTCAAGCACGCCCAGTGACAGAATTTTACTTTAAGCATTTTCGAAGGAAGCACATTGAGCTGTTTTAAGTCTAAACATTTATATCACAAGGGAATTTTGAGAATGCTCTCATGTGAAAGAAGCGTCGTTCTGTGTTATATAATCCTTGGTAACGAAAAGTAATCAATCTAACCGTTTGAAGTATGTTAAACAGAAAGCAATTCAACCTATGCTTCTTATTAAGTGATGGGCAATTTTACGTTGCCAGATTTTTCCATCAAACACAAATACTTGCTCTTGTATTGTTCTGGGTATGGATGTAGCTACAGGATATTGACAGACTGATTCATTTATAGTACAATGACACTCCCAAACCCATGACAAAAGCATCATAAAGCTCTCTAGTTCTCTCTCTCAATTGTAGACTCTGTAGTTCTCTTTTACTAAACTAAGAAGTCTAATTTTATATGGTTTTCTGGCTAGCTTTGGTGGCTGACGACATTAAAGGTCCACTCGTAAACTTCTATCAACGTGCATGCTTCACTACTCAACCCATGCTCCCATATTCTTCCCTTATTTTACTGACTTGGCACAATATTTTGTATTTTACTAACTTACTTTAAGAGTTGTATAGAATAAACATGCGAAAAGAATTTCGTCTTGAATTGCGTAAAATTTTTTTTACGTTTTGTAAGACAAAATTCTTCTCACATAGTTATCTTATACATTGCAAAATCTTTTGAAATAAGCTAATCACATCCAAAGCAGTTTTTCAGTTTCTGAAGCAAGGTTTTTGATTGTTTAGGAGACAAAGTGAAACCAATTGAATCTAAGTACCATCCACTGCGCCCCTTAAACCCTACAATTTTGCATCCTTCCATTGTGAAGTCAAATGGTGTGCCTTCTTCAACTCCATATGGTCCATAGGTTGTGATGTTGCTCTTAAACACCAATGATCGAATGACAGGTGTGCCGTTAAGCCACGCTGGACAGTAATGTCCACTGACACCAATCAAGAACTCATGTGGGTACTGCAGCTTAATCTGATGGACATGAAAAATTTGGGTTACTTTCAAGTTTATGATACGCCCTAGAGGACAACATATACATGTGGAGTTAGAACAAAATCTTCATATCAGAAACAAAGGTGATTCCCCAAAAAAGGTATCTGAGATACTGAACTAGCCTCGTCAGTTTCGTTGCCTCTGGTTCCTCCATGTCTGTCAGCTTTGAAAGGCTTACCATGCTTGTCATAAACAACTTGAATGGAGTCTATACAATCTCCATAAACCAGTGTGATTTCTCTCACCCCTGTGAAGCAACCATCGTCCCAGCTCGATCTTCCGTTTCCTCCCCATGGTCCCACTACTACCAGGTTGCTCTTCTTCCTTCCTGCTCCTTCCTGCAAAACCCTTTGTCTTAGTTCTGTTGAAAAGCCTATTGTAGGATTATGATCCTACAAAACTTTGTTTACAGAGAACAGATCATATACCTTCTCAAATACATCAAGGACCAAATGTAAGGAGGCCTTTTTCTTAGGGCCTCAAATTATATACTAATTCCCTTTTTAATATAAGAGCTAGTTGACTAGTTTAAGTAAATTAAAAAAATTAGTTAAATTAGTTATTCATAATAAATAGGTGGTGTCTTTCCTAAAATATTCTTACTAATAAAATTATTACTTAATGAAACTTTTAATATGTGTAACTACTACAAGGATTACCTTGAGAAAAAATAGACCGCAACTAGGATATGCTCAAATGGTAGAAACTTTCATTTAGCAAACTTGTATGTCTGATTTCTTAGGTAGATTCAAAGCAAAACGAAGCTCGAGAACAACTATTCGTAGTTTTCTACCAAACATTAGATGCACAGCAGGAAACATGTCTGACAGGAACAAAAACGCCAGATTTGAAAAACCTTACCATAAGGACTCTAAACTTTGAAGAGTAGGATAAGCAACGATTCAGATCTGTGATACTATCTGCTTTGAAGTATCTATTGTTTTGAGAACTGAGATTAACGGACACAAACACATATACAGGCAACCGAGCGGAGGACTTAGTGCTGTATCTAATTCCATTTAAAAGGAAGACATATATAGCCATTCCACGTTTTGCTTTTAGGTGAACATTTGGATATATGCGAGCCACTATAAGAGAAATGCCAGACTTGAATCTTTCACAATCAGCTTTTCCTGTTCACCAAACTCGGTGACAAATGGAATTTAGAACCCTAGCACAATTAGGTGTTAACTCACTCAAAAGTAAACTTTTTTTTTTTGCTCTTTCTTATTCTGGGTATAAGTGCGGGTGTTGATACAATTATTTATCCTCCAACTCCGAATCCGAGAATCTTAAGGTCAAAAGAAAGCTAATAGTTCTCTTTATTATTCCGATGTATAACAACCAGAATTTCATTGTTCAAGAAACTTCGAAGGCAACTGAATCCAAATACACACCACTTCGTCCCTTAAACCCTACAACCTTGCCTCCTTCCATTGAAAAGGTAAATGGTGTGCCTTGTTCAAAACCGCATGGGCCATAAGTTGTTGTGGTGCTCTTAAATGTCAGTGACCGAATGACCAGGGCTCCTTTAAATGGAAAATAATGACCACTCACACCAATCAAGAACTCATTTGGGTACTGCAGCTTAATCTGGTAGATGAACATGAAAAACGAGGGTTAGTGTGAAGTTAATTCCCAAAGCTAGAACATAATCTTCCCCTTCCAAATAAAAGTGATGCCTCAAGCATCTTCCTAAGAATCAAAATAAAGTTTTTCCCAATGAAAGTTGATCCAATTGGTAAACAGTTACTCATAACTCATAAAGTCATGAGTTTAAATTTATGTGATGGAGTCTACAAGAGCTCATTGAGCCTAGAAAATGCCCTAGTCCTGATTTTTTTTTTTGGGGGGGGAGGGGCTGTCATAGTCAGACACTGAACTAACCTTGACAGTATTGTTGCCTCCATTTCCTCCATGTTTGTCAGCCATGAAGGGCTCACCATTCTTATCATAAACCACTTGAATGGAATCTATACAGTGTCCATAAACAAGTGTGATTTCTCTCACACCTGTGAAGCAACCATCGTCCCAACTAGATCCGCCGTTTCCTCCCCATGGTCCCACTATGAGGCTTCTCTTCTTCCTTCCTGTTTCTTCCTGCAACGTTCATTGGCTTGGTTCTGTTGAAGAGCCTATTGCAGGAGTATGATCCTATGAACAATGTTTACAGAGAACAGATTGTATATATAATCAAATAAGTTAAGGCCTAGCTCCTTTCTAGGGACCCCCAGTTGTACATATTCTCAAATAGAAACTTGATATATTTGGCAATCATGAATTGTCTTCATTTGCAGATTGAATGGCAAAACACACCTGAGAATTGAAAAAGAAAACGATATTTAATTTATAGTTGACCAGACACAAGATACACAGGCGGAAACATGATTGAGCTACGAATTGAATAACCTTACCATGGGGACTTCGAAAGAGGGATATATAAGCAGCAATAATTCAGATTTGTGACGGTGACAGGGTTACAGGGTGGCTATGGCTTTGAGGACTGATATTAACATATGTGTACACACACACACACACACTTAACGAAGAGTCAGATATGAATTCATTAAATTGAAGAAATTCACATTTTCGTTTTTCTAGGAGAATATTATTCATTGTATGGTCTTTACCCGGTACATGCATTGAGTGGTCTAAACTAATATTCATGATACATATGGTTTTTTTTTTCCCAAGATCATTTATAAAAAAAAGGTTAATATCAGTTTTAATTCTTGAAATTTGATCTTGTGTTGGTTTTGGTTCTTGAATTTTTAAAATGAGTGATTTTAGTCCTGAAACTTTGACCCTGTCCTAGTTTTGGCCTTGAAATCTTAGATAAGTGGTTTTTATCCTTAAAATTTGATTTTATTTTGATCCGACTTAAGATTTTTGGTCTCTAAAACAATGATCAAACCTAAAATAAGATTAAATTTTAGAGACTAAATTAAACACACTTGTTTCAAATTTCAGGAATTAAAACCGAAATGAATTCAAATTGCAATGATGAAAAACATTGATTTCAAATTTCAGAAACTAAAACCAAAAAGAAATCAAATTTTAAAGACTAAAGATAGTATTAATCATAAAAAAAATGTTTAGTATTTTCTTTTTTGAATTAGAGAAATAAACATGTACCGCCAACGCTTATAGAAAGAATTTTTATCGAGAGAATGACAACTAAGCGCTTTAAATCTTTCACGGAAAAATTAAACGTCCCGGTTCTCAATTATATGTAATATATTTAAATAATGATAGTAATAAAAATAATAATTGGTTTTTCATGCAAACGTCACGTCCCAATTTTCAATTTCTTGAGAAAAATAAATTAAATATGAATTCAAATTATTCACTTTGATGTTTGATAAATGAAAAAAAAATGATAATTTAGGATAAGACTGATACCAAGTCGAGAACTCTTCACACTTTCATTTCTCGAATTGCATAGTTAATTTCCAACATTTCAATCCTCATTTTGCCCATTTCGGCGCTTAAAACCTTTTTATAAATGTCTTTGGTTGTCGTTTTTTCTTGTTTAGTGGTTACGTAATATATTAATATTAGTGACTTAACTATTACTCCACAAATATTACTGTGGCCTTTTCATGATACTTCCTCGTTTCTAATGGTAAGAGCTGGTTGATTATGGTTACAAATGTGAAATATTTATTCATTTATTTCTCATAATTTTTCCTCAAACTAATTTTTATGAGGCTAAAATATACATTTATAGTTCTTTAACTTTATATAAAGTTTTAATTTTGTTTGTTAACTTTAAAAAAAAATATTTTTAGTCACTTAATCCTAAAATTATTAACAAAAAATTGTGACTTTGATATCTTAGATGTTGATAAAACATTCTCAAATATTAATATATTAACTTTAATTTTTAAAACAGTCATGATTGTCACAAAAAAATTATCATTTTAATTTAATGATTTTAGGGTTAAAAGATCAAAAATATAGTTTTGTTTAAGGTCAAAAGATTAGATTAAAATCTTGTATAAAATTAAAGAATCAAATATATCTTTTATCCTTTTTATAACTTATAAAAATGCATGTATCTAATATTACATAAAACTATTTTAAAGAAATTATCTTAGATTTGTTAAAATTAAGTAATGCATATTGATTCCTTAATAATCTACCTAAATTATTTAAGCAATTTTTATTTTTTTCCCCAACAAATTCAGTAGCTTTTATATCAAATATTGATGGAGTAATATTTTATAATTTTATTCATTGCTTCGCCAAACCGCTTATGGCGAATGGTACCTATTAACCCATGGAATTGCAAAGTATACATGAGGTCAAGGAAAAGGTGTTGAAGTGACTTCAAGATTATTGATCCATCACACGTTATCGTGGAAAATAGACTGCAATGCTTCTTAACTTCAATATTATTCTCAAACATTGTTATGAGATAGTGCAACACAACGTTTTTATTGAAGACTTCTTTTGACCCTGAAACTCAAATGAGGAAAAGTCCAATAATCAACTGTGATAACTTAGGGCCTGGACTTACTGAAATCATTGTTATCAATCCAATGCGCTTACAAGACTCAAAAAAACATATATAAAGGTTCAAATAGATATCTTTAATAATCAGCAACGAAGCACATTGGAATTCTAAAAAGAAGTTAATGACTATGAATAAACCTAATCAATCACATGAAAAGATAAAATGAGCAAAAGAAATAAAAAACAAAATAAATTACTATCATTGAAGTTATCATTGGCTCAATTTGGCAAGTGTACGAAGTTAATCATGATAATAAATTACTACATCCAATCCCTAATATAATATAAATTCAATTTAAATAATAAATTAAATCTTATATTAAGAATAAAAAAAAGTAGTAGAAGGATAATATTATTCACTTTTAGGAAGTGTCCTCATATTTGTAATGACTAATCAGTTTCATATCAGCTCAATGATCCAAGAAATGGGGCAGCACTGCATAGTTCACGACTATCCTGCTATATTAAATGAGGTTATACACGAAGGAGAGAGAAAGATACAATGAGTTATTGGAATGTGGGGAGCCATTTTATAAGATTTAATTTGATATTTGTTAATGTATTTTTGCTAATTCTGTCGTTAATTATTTATTTTCTCTTCTTGTGAAAATCTTTCTTATCACATTTTTCACGCATTTTCTTTTATCTTTTTCTTGTTTATTGTGAGGTCAAATTTGAAAACAAAATTATATTTTTAACCTATTTACTCTTTTTAATTTAATTGTTCATTATTTTCTTATTAGTTATTTGAAACTTACAATAAAAACAAGAGAAAGTGTATTTAAGCATTAATTGCATGGATAAAATTGACAAATGAACATTAAATATTTTTCAAATGACTTATATTTTGGACTAAATCATTTTTCTAAAAGCGAATTATATTCTTCGACAAAAAAAAAAAAACAGAGGGAGTACTGATTTGGAGAGCATTACATATATCCAACTATCTTAGAGGTTCTTTCTTCTATTAACTCTTGAAGCTGTGGGGTGTGAAAAGGAGAATAATGAGCTTTGGAATTTACCTTGAATAATCTAAATATTATTGAATATATAATAACTTGTGCTCAGATGACTACAAATCCCAGGTTACTACGAACGTTAGGAAGAACATGTTCACTTAGCAGTTGACGACTCGACTCTTGACAATGGCTCTTGCGGTTGCGGTGGAATTATCCGAGATAAAAGTAGCAGATGATTGTCCGGATTTGGCAGTAAACTCACAATAGTTCCTTCAGCCATAGCAGAGCTTTTAGCTATGTTACAGGGTTTCCCTTATGTTGGTCTACAGGTAATAAAAATGTGTCTCTTTCATCAGATTGCATCCCCAAGCAATTAACTTGGCAACTAGAGGATATGACCAAGATCACCCATATCGAGACATTATTAATGATATTCAGTTATTAATCGATCGGCATTGGCAGGTTACCTTTTTGTATAAACCCAGAGAGGATCTTGGCTGGCTAGATATACTCCCCTGATCCTATTTATAAAATACTTACAACATGTTTTACACAGATTAAGGAAAACCTTAAACTATATTAACTCTTCATTAAAATGTAACAATTTTTTAATTTTATCCCTATTTAATATATACTCCTTTAAAAAAAAATAACTATCTACACTATAATAAATGAATGACAATATGGTACATTCATGGTAAAAATTTAATAAAATGACTTATAAAAAGGACAAAAAAACCTTCTCTCTCTGCCTTATAAATAGGACTAGAGGACTATTAGCTAAAAATGCTCACACTATAGAAACACCTTTTTGTATCTCTAACCATCCTCCACCTATTCTACAGTAAGCGGATGGGGATAAGGGTTGAAGATTTGTTTGTTTTTTGTTTTGTAATATTGATATTTGCATTACAGTTTTTTATTCCAAAAAAAAAAGTTACCTCATTAATCTTAAATTGTTATGAAATTAACCAATAATGAAAGTAGATTGGAGAAGAGAAGTAGACAAGAAAATGAGAGAATGATATTGTATTCCTTTACTTGCTTCACTTACTTCACAATACAATGACATGCCTTATTTATAGGCATAGTCTCACACATAAGTTACATTTATACTTAAATGATAGATAGTGGACAATAAACCATATGAATATGAGTGGGGGGAGTTACAAGATTAAAGGCATAGTAGAAAGGTAATGGAGTAGTGGAAAATTAATGCCTAGTGGAAGTAGTGGGAGTTGATGATGAAATTGAGAGGAAGAGGAAGAGGAAGAAGAGGATATGGACATCCACATATTATAATATTCATAACACTTCCCCTTGGATGTCCATTATCTAAGATATGTGCCTCATTAAAAAACTTCAACTAGGAAAAACCCTGTGGGATAAAAACCTAGTAGAAGAAAAAGAATACACATTCACTGATACACTATTTGATGCTGCCTCATTAAAAACCTTGCTAGGAAAACCCAATGGGAAAAAACCATAGACAAGGAAAAAAGAGTACAGCGTTTATTAACTCCTCCTCTTGATAACATCAATTGATATCCTTGAGTCTGTGACATCTGATATCATGAACAAACTTTTCAAATATTGTAATAGGAAGTGACTTGGTGAACAAATCTGCTAGATTTTTATTTGAATGAATTTGCTGGATATATATTTCACCATCTTTTGGATATTGTGAGATAAATACTCCATTTGTAATTACCAGCATGTGAATCAGAAAAGAATCTAGAATTCTATTCCAATGTCTTTGGTGAAGAACTATATCTTACCAATAAGTTAACAGCAAATGATATGTGATGTCATGCACGACTGATAAGATATGATATGGTACTTCTGGACCTATAATTTGGTACTTCTGGACCAAATAGTTCTTCATCACCTTCTCAAAATATATAAGGTTCTTTATTCACCTCCACAAATCTCACAACCGTCAAAGTATATAATGGATGTGATTTATCCATATAAAAACACTTTAAGGCCTTTCTTGTATCAATTATTTGATACACAAAAATCTTCATTTCTCAAGTATTCAATTTGCAATTCAAGACAAAACTTTTAGATTTTGTAAGCTTTTGTAAGCTCTTCAAGAGTTCCAATAATATTTATGTCATCAACATAAACAATTATAGCAAACTCACTTTTAGATCTTTTCATAAAAATGCATGGGCAAATTGGATCATTTTTTATATCATTTTTTCAACCGATATTTATTTAGTCGGTTATACCACATACGCCCTGATTGCTTCTGGCAACTTATTTAACTTAATCATTGTTCTTAAGAACTTAAATTGTATGCTTCTGGCAAGTGAAATTCTTTAGGGAATTTCATATATTTTGATTCAAAACTATAAAATGGATCATACATACTGAAATTATTTTAATCTTCATAATATTTTATATACTGAAAGATTTTCTTATATATGCTCCTGGCATATTTTTGAATCCTTCAAGGATTATCATGTAAATTTTACTATTTAATGATCCTCATCCAAGGGTCATCTAGCAGGCACATTTCATAATGCTAGACTATTCAAATATGCAAAATGATATCCACCACAAAGTAATATGTCTCATCATAATCATTTGTGAAAATCTATATTTTCACATAAATGTCTATATATTCTATAGAAACTTTATATGTGTTGGGACTACAGGCCCATTTTCACACATCAAAATAACATTTTCATCACATCTTTTCCCTTTTTCTTTTCTTCTCGGCCAAATTTATATCTACTTTGTATGATAGATCTATATGTAAGATCCTCTTTTTATCACGTGATATTCTTATGAAAAATCATTGTCGACAATTTTACCTTTTCAGTTCCATTTTTTCTTTTGTGACATAACTTGTTGAGATCTCTTTCTTCCTTTTCAGGTACCTAAATCTCTTCTGGGGTTTTATAATTAGTTATGTCCTGACACTCTTCTAGAGTAGATGCCTCCTCAATACAACTTCTAAGTTGTATGCTCCTCTTTATTCAAGATATTTATATT